TTTATTCTCATATTTTAATTTTTAATCTTAATATTAAATATTTTAATAATACTATCAATTACTGTATATAATTTGATGAGAAAAAGAAAAATCATAACATTCTGATATTAAAAATATTAAATTTAAATTTTGAGATAAATTAAAAGAAATTTTTTTAAAAAAATTATTATATAACTTATTATTTAATATATTAAAACATATATATAACTTTATAAAAAAATCCTAATCTTTTAAATGCGGTAGGAGTTTTTATTTTTATTTTTAATTTTTTTCTATTTTTATAATAATATCAAATTATTAATAATAACAGTGGCAATTTCATTATTTAGACAGATTGAGATAAAATTAATTAAGGAAATGTTTATCGACTTGATTGATTATAAAAAAAATTACATAAAAAAAATTAAAACTATATTTGTACTGTATTTCACTAGAAATTCATTACACAAATTTCAGCCTTTAGGCCAATAAAAGCCTTGGTTGATAATATTCTGCTCACAATATGCTATGATACCAAGAAATATACTTATCTCCTTCATAATGTTGCAAATAATTCAAAAAAGCATTCATTTCGACAATGTGGAATTTTCGAGCTTCCACTTAAATATTTTCTAGATTTTTCTTTTCATAAATAATATGTTGTAGAAACTTTTACCAACCTTATTCAAACAATATTCAATAGACAAAAACCCTTATTAAGCCCCTTAACCTCTTCGACAGCAAGTGACAACCCCTTGAACTAAAAAGTGGGCAAACAAGCCCTTGGTGCATAAGACACAACGACAAGTTGAATGCCGAATGCCATGCAAGCCATTACACTAACTGCGTTATGAAACTTAGTTAGTGGAGAGGTTGATTTGCACAAAACATGAGATTTTTATTTTTTTGGTTTCCCGCCTGATATCCAAGACTTCACTCCGACTAATTTCGATCAGCGTTGCGTAGCTGAAAATGATGGGTGAGTCTTCCAACGAGGACTGCTACGTACACAAAGTCTCAAACTCAATATTTTGCTTAAACTGGAACAAGCCGTTTACCACTTAATCCAATTCCTCGTTGGCGCACAAAACATGAGATTGGGGAGCTTATTTGCCCTTTTTTAGTTTAGGGGCTTGTCACTTCTTGTTGAAAAAGTTGAGGGACTTAAGAAGAGTTTTTGTCTATTCAATATCATTAATATTAATATCTAATTAACACTCCACATATCATTCTTTCAATATTGTCTTCTTCCATATTTTTTTTGGGAGTAAATAAAAAGATGGATGGTCTAGCTATCAAGAAGATGGGGTGGATGGTTGGGACATTGGTGTGAGGGTCCATTGCTTGCATTTGCAAATTTTCATATGAAATAAATATTGTAATTAGTATTGTCGTTTTCCCCTATAGTTGGTATGTGTCATTGCCATTTACCAGACAGTAACCTGGCAGTCCCTTTATTTTTCTATGGCTTTCATTCATGTCCTTTCAGGTAACAAGCGTTTTTATTTTCTGAAATGGAAATGTCGATTATGAGTGCTCATCGGCTCAAGTTGCCTATCCACATCATAAAAGTAAATAAATAAATTTCGATAAAATAATAATAATAAAGGCAGAATGATGTATATGTTCAAGAAACTAAAATATGACACTTTCGATTTAAAGTTTTAAAATTTTATCAGTCATGTATAGAAATAATTCAATTATCACGTGAATCTAAACTCATTGTCACATTAAAAAACAGCTAAAGATATTTTGTTTATTAAGTTATCTTGGAATGTCCAAAATATATATGAGAAGGAATTTATTCATGTAAAAGTTTTATATAGTACATTTATATAAAATTTTAATTATTAATTTTTTAATTTTCAATTATTAGAATTTATTAAATTTTATAAGTAAAAAAAATAATTATATTTACTAAATGTGAATAAATATTAATAATTGAAAATAAAAAAATAAATGATTACGATTATATAAATATAATATATAAAATTTATATGTGAATAAATTCATACTTAATATATATATATATATATATACAGAGGCATACTTCCATTATTACAAGTAAAATTTTATTTGCCAGAAATTAGGACAATCAAAAGTTATGAGTTCAATGTACCTAAACGAAAATCCAAACCTAGAATTTGATATTAAGCGGACGGCCTTCCAAAGTTATGAGTTCAATTCAAGGTTCTTAAAGAAAAATCCAAACTTGGAATTTAATATTTGTTGGTCCAACAAAGTTACAAATTCATGCGAGTAATATTTAACCATAACTTCCACGTTCTTTTGTATTTTATATACTGTTTGTTTCGTGCAGACATAAATTAATATATAAATAAACCGTCTAATTATTGCATTTCCAGCTTAATCATTCTATTTGTCCAAGGTCCTTGTCATCCATAATATAGATTATAGAGTATAAACAAGTAATTGGTTTAAAATAAAATGATTAAAAAAATACAATTTATAGAAAAAAATATATTATGTAATTCAAACTATACAAGACGACACAATTTAATTATTAAATAAAAATTAAACCTTCTAATATTAGGACCTTCATTATTTAATAATTTTTATATTATAATTCAATATAATTTAAATTATAAAAGAGAATTTTTAATCTTTGCTTTAAGTTTTATTTATTACAGTATTTGTAATTAATTTTATATAAATTTTTATACAAAAATTTAAATGAAATATAATATAAAAAATATAATATAATATAATATTTTATCTTAAAATCTATAAAAAAAATTATAAACCTAATATAAAAATTTATATAAAATTAATTAAAAATATTTTAATTAATAAATTTTAACTTATATTTTAAAAATAAAAATTAAATAAATTAAGTAAATGTATTATCAAATAAAATTCTTGAACTTATATCCTTGCAAATGAAAAATGGTCCATGTTCGGAGTCTTTGACCGGAACCCAACCACCTTCCTCCCTTCCCCGAGGAACACGTAACTTAAATGCTTCGTTGTTTTTCAAGGTTTTTTTTTTTTTACTCTCTTTTTCAGGTAGAAGTTGTTCTTTTAGTTAGAGATAGCAATTGTACAACTTGTTTAAATTCTTTTTTTTTAACAATATATCATGAGCCTTAAACTCAATCTCAAAAGAAGGAAAATTTATATCTTAATAATGTGACAAAAATTATTCGATGCAACGGATTATATGCATAATTTATTTGAATTTTAAAATTTATAAAAATTACAAAAATTATAATTAAACAATTACTATAATATCAAGACCTACCTTTAATTATAAAAACGTGAATTACATGTTACTTTCGGGTTCTAGTTAACCCTTGAATTTATTTGTTTTCTTATTCCAACACTTAAATCTTTATGCATATAAATAACTTTCACTTTTACTTTGCCTTTCTTAGGTGGCTAGAGAGTAACATAGAAGCTTAATTGAATAACGATCTTATTAATCACTTAAAAAAAAATTAAGGGGACTTTTAGGCACACAAATTTATGTGAATCCCTATTGTCAACGAAGCACACGTGCGGCTATCCCTAAATTAAGTTGCAGTGTAATATACAATAGAAGTAACCTGCCCTTTTCCACAGTTGTCACAAAGCTAAGGTCTGTTAGCAGGACTAGGGGTGGGCAAAACCGGTTTTTGGTTAAAACCAAAATTGGTTTTGAAATAACCAAAATTTTTTTCCCTAATTTTGAAAATCGAAATCGAATCGAAATTATCAAAAATTAATCGGTTTGATTATCAATAAATCGGTTTTAAATCGGTTCGGTTTCAATTTTTTATAAATAAATAATAATCAATTATTTTTCTAATAATATATTATATTTTATCATATTTATCTTAATTTTAGTATTTAAATGACTTATTTTTGGTTTATTTTTGGTTTTCGATTTTTGAGAGATTCAACCGAAATCAAATCAAAATATATTTGGTTAATACTAAAACCAAAAAAATAAAACCAAAAACTGTTGAAACCGAACCAAATTTATTTTTTCAATTTGGTTTTCAAATAAACCATCGGTTCGGTTTAAAAATACCCAGCCCTAAGCAGGACCACCGACAGTACTCCCACATTTAAAAAAATAATTAAAAAAATTATAATTCAAAAATTTATGATTTATAATCACAATAATACAATAAAATGATACTAGAAATTGCAAACAAACAAAAATCACATGATTCATAAAATCAGAGAATTAAGTTGTATAAGGAGGGTCAAGGAACAAGCATCTTTTTTTGTACGACAGAATTTAAGGTGTGTTCCCTTTAAAAATCTATGGATTAGGATTTCTTTGGTTTTTTCATTACATGCATGCATCCTTAAATTTTATTCTCATATTTTAATTTTTAATCTTAATATTAAATATTTTAATAATACTATCAATTACTGTATATAATTTGATGAGAAAAAGAAAAATCATGACATTCTAACATTAAAAATATTAAGATATTTAATGATAGTGACATGATAAATTTGATAAAATTAAAATCTACATTATACCCCACATATTTAATAATTGTGATTTAACATTTTAAAATTTTTTTAATTTGATAATAAAATTATTTATATTTTTTAATTATAAATTAAATTTAATTAAAAAATAAAAGTTTAAATCTAAATTCTTTTAATTAC